AAGTGTGCTATGGCAACCATTGGTCTTTAGAACAAAGGATCAAAGACTTTAGACAATATCATTGGGTCTCAACAAATTTGTTCTAACAAAAGTGGCATTGGCTTTGGCTTTGGTGGTAAACTGTCCCCTCTAGTTCAATCAAGAAACTGGCTACAACAGGAATCAATGTGAATCCAACTATTTGTGCATTCTTGAATACACTGAAAAACTTGAGTTGCTCCAGTACACCTCCATTACCAACCATCGTAGAAGACATAGATTGCGAAATGGATCTACACAAATTGCTGGAGAAACAGATAGAGGAGATCAGTAATTCAGCTGATGTTTCCAAGAAGAGAATTTCAGACAACATTCTGTTTGGTGTTGAGGGTAGGCACCTATAGCTCTATCACTTTACTACATAGACTATAGTGTAGGTTTTTCCTATTTTAATTTAAAAATTTATGCATGGATGAGTTAGATTCTAGTTGGTAGCCTGCACTAACAGTTGATGGATAATGCTAATACAGTGTCTTGCACCTGAGCCTCCAACCTGGAAACTTGGTTTTTCTGACACTTTAATGCAGTATGTTCCACAGTATGGGCTCCTCTTAGTGACAGTTCAAAATTAAGTATAATCAAATAGGATCTGCTTTGTTTCAAAAAAAAAAAAAAAAGCAAAAAGATTTTCTTAGTATGGTTTTGCAAGCCTAAAATTTTTGAGAAGTTCTTGCTACATATTGGATTTGATGAGAATATCCATTACATGTTAATATGTGTGTGCTTTCTGTAGTCATTACTCCTTTCGGAGTGTGTATTCTTTGATTAGTATGTCTCATTTTGTACACACTCTTGGATTAGCAAATATCAGAGTCTTTCGCCTTAGTGATTTTTTTTTCTTTATGTACTTCTAGCATTGTATCTTTTGATTTTCTAGAGGAATTGACCTATACTAGCATATCATAGGTGATGTTGAGTTTCTTAACCACCTTTCATCTTTGCATCTCCATGGCTTTCCCCTCAATTCTTTAGTCAAGGCATGAGGAAAAGGCTACCTCAGAGTCACCAACCAGGCTATCCTTATTGTCTCCATGCTTCTCTGGTTCGGTTTCCCTACTCTTGAGTGTGTCAGCCGCTAATGAGTGTGCAAAAGAAAACAAAAAAATGTGCAAAAGAAAGAAAGAAAAAAAAAATTCATTGATTGAGGGAGAGCCTTTGCTTTTACCCAACAAATACCCCTTGATTCCTAGTGGTTTGACTTTCCTTTGTTGTGCTTAGATTCTCTTGCCAGAAGTCCAGCTATCAGATCACTACTAGGATTTGAATCTTGTGTTTGTCGAACTCCAAGAGTCACACACACACTTTTATCATGGGTCTATGCTTTTCACATATTGCATCACTTTCTTTTATGAGGAATCTTCTAGAGGCTGTGCACATTGTGTTTCATGTAATTGTGTTTCTTGGATAATCTCGTGTGTTTGAAGGTACAAATCAGAAATTCTTTGCTTGCTTTACCATATTTTGTTTTCGTTTTTTTTTCTTGTTCACTGTTTTCAGTGTTTGTAGTTACTTTTAGTAATGGGGAGTTTGGTTGATCTTGGATTAGTTTGGTTATGGAGTTTGGCATTAATTGGTTTGTGAGTTGCTATCCACTGCTTGTTTATTGCTTACTTCTTGCAATTTAATAATTTTTCAATCATCTTGTCCCTGCTTGTGTGGTTTTTGATCTTGCTTTCGTTGTTTGAGCTTCCTTTGTCAATTCGTGACAAAAAGGGGGAGAAATGTTGTCGGGTGCATGTGTCTTAGGATTTCATGTAGTCATGCCATGTGTCGAGTGATTTATTTGTATTCATATTTACATCTCATGGTTCAAGATAATTATGTCATATGTTTATTGGTTTTTCATATACTCTTGTGGCACTAATAGTTGTTTTGGAGATTGTGGCACTAATGACTGTTTTGCAGATCATGACCTTAAGAAAGAAGTTTGCGTTTGTTAGCTGTAATGGGTTGGGGTGATTAGGATTTTATTTGTTAGGTGTGTTGTGTCACGGCATTGCCAAAGGGGGAGATTGTTAGGTTTTTATTCTTGGCAATCCCATTTGACAAAACTCCTTCCAGTTGTACTTGTTTTCGCACTTTTATTTTCAGTGAGGCTATGAGTTTTTAGTTCCGAATCCAACCCGAATTGTGCCTTGCAGAGAAGTTTGTGGTGCGAATTCTTTCATGATTGCCACTTCGCTGACTATGACGGGGATACATTTGAAGTTGCTTGTCTACTCGAGCGGACATTCCCCTGCTCGAGCGGAGAATCCTTGGTTCTAGAAGTTTGATCGCCTGCAAAAATACTGGGAGATGTTTTTTCCCACTTGAGCAGAATTTTTTGCGCTCGAGCGTCGGTTTGTTCGAGCGGCCATTCCTACGCTCGAGCGGAGATCGCGGAACAGATTGCTATAAATATGTGTTTCAGTCAGATTTTAGGGTTACGCTTCCAGATCTTTTTCTTGGATATTAGGGTTTATATCTGGGGCTATTTTGTTAGTTTTATTTGATGTTTGATTGAGTATTCAACTCATGATTTAAGAAGTATACATCAAAGAATTGTTGGTTTATTCAATACAAAAGAGAGAGTTGTTCTTCGGTGGATTCTAGAGTGGCCCATCGTCGTGATTCGACATCGGCGTTGTGGATTCAACATTGGGCAAAGACAATTCCAAGGTGAAGACCGTGGTGGAAGAGGCATATAGGGGTCGGTTCAATTCGGGCATAGATTTGCTAGGTAATTGAGAGTACAATTGTGTAATTCCTTTTGTCTTCTTAGTGAATTGTTTTGTGGCTTTTGCCCGTAGTTTTTTTTATCACAATTGGAGGCGCTCTAATTGTGGTTTTTTCACGTTGAAATCGTTGTATCATTTTGTCTTGATTGTTTGTTTGGAATTGATATTTACTGCTTAAAATTGATACATAATCACAAATCGAAATGTAGGAGATTTCTAGATTTTTCAAGTGTAATTCGCAATATTTGTTTTGTAATATGTATGAACCTGTACAATTATAATTATATATTTATTTTGTATTATTAGTGACAGAATTAAAAAAAATCACAATTTTATCGATAAAATATCCAACAGAATCTAATTTAAATTATAAAAATTAAAATTAAATAATAAAATATGAGTCTCGTAAAATAATTATTTTAATTTTATACTACAATCTGTCTAATCAAATGGGTGTTAAGCTATGGTTTTGAATTCATCGTTAAATTCCAAAGGAGTTGACTGTTCATCAAGGAAAACAAATTAGACTTTCGCTGCCATGTGCTTGAAATGAGTTGACAAAGCAAGCATGGCATACGTATCTATATAGATAAATTCTATAGGTTAGAATTATGTTTTAATTAGTCATATAATTTTTTTTTATCTATTTAATTTTTTTGGATGTGTAATAATTCATTTGTCATTATAATCTCCTTAATTGTTTTGGAATGTTACGTTTGGAAAAAATATATTAAGGAGTTTTTTAATGTGTTACATTAGAGTATTACGTTTGAAATTGTATTAAACTATTATGTTTGGAAAAAGTACGCTAAACAGTTTTTTGGGAGTGTCACGTTACGGAAACGTGATCCAAAAATTAAATCCAATTTTCCTAAGATGACGTCCCCTAATGAGAAAGGGTAAAAACGTCTGCCAAATTATACAAAATTCAAAATATGAACTCATAGTATGACTATCAAAACAAACAGTATGTATCAGTATATTAGAAAATTTATGAGACTGATTGAAGTAACCGATTCCCGTAAAAAGCTTTTTTACCATTTTCCCTATAATATATAATTAAGAGTGAATGAGAAATCGTCTACTATTTTTCAATACAAAGCTTATAATTAATGTCTTTTTACCTAGTCTTCTCTTTGGTTAACTTATTGTCTAACTCCACCATGAATGGTTCTTCAACTGTACCCATTCATGTTTTATTAGATAAATTATAATTATAATTTTTGAGTTTACAAACAGTTAACAATATAACATCATGGTGGTAAGAGTCTCTCCATTCATAATCAATTAGTTTTGAGTTAAGTATTTTAATAAGGTTCACATTCATAGACTTTCACCGATTAATAATAGGTTAGGTTCGGACTTGCCTAACTTCAATTTTTAAAACCTAGAACCTATTCATGTGCTTAAAAATGCAGGCTTAATGGGTCTCAAGTAGGCTTGGTTCATATGGGCCTAATTTTACTCAAATTTGAACTTTCATTCAAACTTTTTTTTTATATATATATTTAATTTCAAAATTATTAAAAAATAAAAAATTTCTATTACAAAATTTTGAAGTGCATCACAATAATTGTAATCACTTTTGAAATCATTATAAAAAAAGGGAAAAAAAAAACTTTTTTTTATCGAAATACAAAATTACATCTACTATGCTTTTGTTATTGAATTGCATATACATCGCTAATCTCATAGAAATTTAGTTACTAGTTTCATAGATGGCGTGCTACTCTAGTTTCAAAATTATTATTTTTTATACGTTCTTACACGTAGAACCAATAAATAAATAAAATAAAGTGAAAACAAATCAATTATGCGACACTTATCAGTAAGTCTCATATACAAAATTCAAAATCCATCTAATTCCAAAACAAAAACTTATACCAATTAGTCCTACATATTTTTAATTATTACCAAAAAATAATTTTTTTTTATAAATTGGATAAATTACACTGACATCCCTTGAGATTTACCTTAATTACAGAGACCTCCCCTGTAGTTTCAAAAATAACACTAACCTCCCCTACTTTTTAAAATAATATGTAGATTCTCCCTTCCCGTTAAATTTGCATGAACAATGTTAACTTGACAGCCGAATTGACCTTAATACCCGTGAACCATATTGTGAAAAGACAGTCCCTGGAAGAGAGGGTTCTGGTCGTTTCTTTACCTTTCAAAGCAATCTAGTACTCGAAGAAGTGATCCCTCGTTAGTGGGTTCGCGTTGTCGCAGAGATCGAAGAAAATGGAGGAGTTTGTGGTGACGACGGTAGTGATGGATAAGAGTAAGAGTCCGAACCCGGCGGCGTTTGGCTGGAGAGTTTCTAGATCTAGATCCGTTGGGTGCAGAAGCAAGAGTTTTTCCGGGGACTTTTTCGAGCGAATCTCTACTGGATTCGAAGACTACACTCTCGGGCAAGTCGAGTCTCAGAGAGAAGGCCACCGCCATGGTGGTGAAGAATGGAAATGCATCAAGGAGAGAGTCAAGTATGATGGGATTTTTAGTGGGTTCATGATCACTTCCTCATCCTCTTCATCTTCTTACTGGATTTCATCTTCAATTGAAGAAAATGGAAAGTCGACACTGGCAACGGCGACACCAGTGGTGGCGGCGACACATGGAAGATGTAAGAGTTGGGATTGGGCATTTGCAAGTCCAATTAGAGCTTTCAAGCCTTCTTCTTTTTCAAGGAAGAGAGAGATTTCTAACAAAACCACCACTCCAAACCTAAATGCCACCCTTCATTGTTGACTGTGAGAGGTTAATTAGCTCCGTTCTACTTTCTCTCTTTGTTTTTGTATGTTTGAACTAGTTTTTGGGTACAATTTTTAAGGGTGTTGTTTGTCAAGTTCAAATTAATGTGAATTGTTTTGGTTCTTTGAAGTTCAATGTTGATGCAAAAAAGACACTTGAGATGGATCCAAATGGGACTTCAAAGAAAGAAACACGAATTTAAATTGTGTGCCCACTAAAAATAGTCATCTTGAGTCTTTGTTCTAAGTTGTAACGTACAGATCTTTTGAGTTGGTCTAGGTCAATCTAAAGTCATGTTTGTCTAAGGAAAAAAAAAAAAAAACTTGGAACATTCAAGTCCTTGATTGTAATTTGCTTATAGAAATTGTGGGCTGCCCTGAATTTGTAAATTTTTTGTGCTGTTTATTTATAATTTGCGATTTTGTAATTTTTGTAATATTTATTTGTAATTTGTGACTCCATGTTATGGCCAATAGATCCTGTCATATTAGTGAATAATGAGATTTTTGTTAGCCATTGTGACTAAAGAGTTTAGAACTTGCATCTTACTTTTTGTCTTCAAATTATATTGTTCTTATATATGTTTGGTTGATCATGTCTTGAACAAGGTTTATATATTTCAGTGTGTTTCTTCCATTGTTTGATGATGCCATATCACTGTATCTATGCATGCATACAAAAAAAATAAATAAATAAATCTTTACATAGTTCACCCAAAAATAACATCCACAGAACTAGGAGAGAGAAAGAGAGAGAGCTCACATGAAATCTTCATCCATGTCCAGTAATGTTGTAGAGAGAGAGACTTTGGAGAGAAAGTTAATAGGTGCTCTGGGAAATGGAGGGAAATAGTTAACAAGGGGGTGTATTGTTTCATAAGGGTTGGCAAGGGTATTTTGGGCGTTGGCATATTTATGGAGGCTGATGTCGCTGATTTTGTTACTTTATTAACGTCAAGTTAACAGTAGAGGGAATCTGTATATTATTTTCCAAAGTAAGGGAGGGCAGTGTTATTTTTTAAACTATAGGGGAGGTCCTTATAATTAAGGTAAACCTCAAGGGAGGTCAGTGTAATTTACCCTTATAAATTTAAAAAAGTTGCTACATCCTATTATAGTTGGACTTCCGTCAGACAGTCACCGGAGACTCGCTGGAATGTTCAACATCACCGGTAAGTCGTTGGAGTATCGTCAAAAGTTTACCGAAGTACCGTCAGAGTGTTCTGAACGTCACTGAAAGTCGCTAAAATGTCCAGAATACTCGTTGGATGCCAAGAACATCGTTGGAGACTCATCGAAATGTCCAAAATATTGGGGAAGAAAACAAAAAGAAGAAATGGAGAAATTATAGTGAAAAGACATAGCAAAATTTTCTAAATATTGATAAACTTAAAAATAAAATAAAAAATAAAAAAAAGAAGAAAGAAAGAAAAAACATAATAACAATAAACAGTAACAATGGGAAAAAAACATATATTATTTTTCAATTTTTGTAGGGTTTAAGTAATTAATCTACAATATTGATCAAACTGAAAAACAAGCTTTTAAACTGTAAAATGTTACAGTTTCAGAGCATAATTTTATTAAGTATTTATTCTTATTTATCAAATTGAAAACATGTTACAAAACTGTAAAATTTTACATTTCTAAAGAATGTTTTAAAATAGCAAAATTTTGCAGTTTTAAAACATGATTCATTTCAGCACTGAAAAATTAAAGCAGTAAAATTTTACAGTTTTCAAAGCTTGTAACTAGAACTCGAAACTGTTCAAAATTTGAAACTTTTCTCCATTAAAACAGAAAAATAGAAGTGTGTAGCAGAGAAAAGATCGAAAAATTCAAAGATCGAAGGAGAGAAACAGATATAGAGAGAAGATTGTACTCCGGCAACTTTTTTTGGTTTAGATCTAGTCAGATCTCATGTAAATAGGGAATAGAATTATGGACAATGTCCTTACAACATTTGGGATAAACTACTAATAGATCCTAATAGTTTGACTTAATTCCCATTAAATCCTATTGAAAATAAAGCATAGTAAAACCGTCGCTAAAAGTAATTTTTTGTGACAATTAGTGACTTTTTTTGTCACAATTTTTATAAATTGTCACTAAAACTTACAATTAGTGACATTTTTCTGTGACGAACTTTTTCAAACTGTTGCTAAAAGTTACAAATTAGTAACTTTTTTGTGATTATTTTTTTAAACTCTCGCTAAAACTTATAGTTACTGTCAAAATTTTCAAACTGTCGTTGAAAATTAACAATTATTGGCCTTTTTTTAATGTTGTTTGATAAAAAATGCTATTAATTATCGTAGAACCCAGGGTCAGCCCTGGGCATAGGCCTACCAGGCCATGGCTTATGCCCCTCAAAATACACCCAAAAAAGGGGTCCCCTCCTATTATAGTTTAGGGTAATATATTAGGTATATTTTAAGTCTAAAAAAAATTAATGAAGGCCTAAACTAACTTAAAATAAATTAACTCATTGAAAAATTAAAAGGCTCATTCAAAATTAAAAGGGTCCACTCTTTCTCCCTATCTAATTCCTAACCCTAACTCTTTTGACACAAATCGTTTACTCTTTACCTTCAAAAAAGATTTTGGTTGAATAAAAAAAAATATGAAAGGTCCGAAATGATCTAGTGATATTTATTAGTTCATTATTGGCTTTGGGCTTCGAAAATCTCAGGGCTAGGCCTGATAGAACTTATTGGATAATAAGTTCATTTATTATGACTTACATGTAATTCGTCCCAACTTTTGAGGATGTGTACCATAACATCACCTTTCCCAACTTTTGAGAATGTGTACCATAACATCACCTTTCTTGTTATTATTATATAAAAATGAAAATTTTTAAACAGTACTCTTTGTCTCATATAATGATGACACTTCTTTTATCTTTCTATAATCTCCCATATTGGGATGGTTTAGAATTTGCTTATTCAGTGACTTTCTATTTTTTTTTCAAAAAAATATATAAACAATAGAGAAATAATATGTTAACTTATAACAAATAAGCAAATAAATTGATTATTTGTTAACTTCCCAAGCCACTCGTGAATAGTTAGGAGACAACAATTAACTATTGTAATCTTGTACAAGATGCTTAGGGAAAAGTGCTATATATGCGTAGCAGCAATGATGATATTTTCAAATAGGGAAAGGATGGTCTCCACTCACGGTATTATTGGATTTGTGAGGTCCATCACAGATTTTATTTTCATCATTTGAACTATTTAATGTGTAGATCTCGTTGTAACGCCCTCAAAATAATAACATTAAACCCATCAGATAAGACAAGCATTTACATATAAACTAACCACATTCCTTTATTTCATTGAGTTTCCAAGACATAAGTATTACATGTTAACATCATAACAAAATGCCCTATGGGCTTACAGCTTTCCAAGTTAACACTTGGTTACAACAAAAGAGTACTAACTCGTTTACACATTAAGCCCTAGGCTTGAAGTTACATGTAATACATCAAAAGTAAAGCGACAAAAGTATGTCCGCCACTAGCCTCCCAGCTATGTCCTTGGAGGTGGCATGCTTCCTCCCAGTATTTTGTGCCTCAGCAAAACTTCTGCAGGTGTGTTTTCACGCTCGAGCGGATTTTCTAACGCTCGAGCGGGTCGCGCTCGAGTGGGTAGTCCTTGTTTTTTGTAAAAGTTCTGGATGGGCGTAATCTATGCTTGAGCGGACTGGTTTTCGCGCTCAAGCAGGTGTGCTTTGTTTTTGTGTCTGGGCACTCAAGCAGTCATTCTTGCGCTCGAGCAGGTACAATTTTTGTGCTCGACGCTCGAGCGTCCTATTCTCCGCTCGAGCGGGTCATGCGTTTATCAATTGACAGCTAGGCTATTTTGAATCACTTTTTACATCCTCACTCTCTCTCTTACTTTTTCAAAACTCTATTGGAGAGCTTCTCTCACTAAAGACCCACCTTCTCTCTAGGGATTGATCTAGTTAGAGGGTTCTCCTACCCTTTGGCCTTTACAAAAAAGTGTGGGATTTGCCTTGCTCTACATTTTGACCCGAAAAGTTTGGTGTTTGGAGCACTTCGAGTTTTCCTCATCTTCTCCATTT